TTTGGTAGGGCCTATATTTTCAAATTGAGACCCCAAATTTCACAATAATCCGATTTCATAATCAGCCGCGACAATATTTATTTTTTATAATATATAACTTAAATGGCATGCCTTTAGACTAGATGGCATGCCAATAACCCTCATGCCACGAACCTTAATGCCAAGACTATAGATATCAAAAGCTTTATCTCGGTTATATAACAATGGACTTTGAAAATATTATGGATCGGAAAATGCATATGTTTCTCCACCAAAGATTTTGTGCTATTATCCAATGATTTAGGTAATCCAAAATCCGTAATTATGATCCACCATCATGCACTAATATATTCCTATCATGCTATAACAATAATTTAATACCATATAGTAAAAAGCGAGAAATAAATTAAACAGAAAAGATATTTTACGAGATCGCGATGAACAATATTTGCATTATGTAAACAATTAACCCCACTAAAAATTTCTTTTGCCATTCTGATTTTAATTGTCCAATCTAATTCCGAGAAACGATTACGTAAATAGTAGCGAAGGTCGCCGTTATTAGCGAATTGAAAAACCACATAGTATGCTTCTTTTTTTGGATCTAATTACTTGAAATAATTTGTTAGTTAATAGAGTCAATTTTATATAATATAAATATAAAATTGTGTGATTCCAAGAAACCGTACTATACTATCATGTTTTTCTGTTTTTACACCGCATTTGAAGGGGATCCCATATATATCTTCAATAATGTCGATTCCCCCATCATCTGGATTTCTAAATAATACAATAGCAAATATAAGTAATGTGTCATCATTGTACAACTATAGAAGAACGTTCACGCCTAAGACGTGGCCACGATGAGCTTTCGACTCGATAGTTTGTATATCCTATTCACCATTAACCCGATAGGGCCTAACCATTTTCGGGACTTCAGTAACTGAAAGAACGATCAACTGCCGAAACAGCTGGCCACGAAGAGCTTTCATTTCAGATATTTTACACTGATAGTGGCAGCGTAACTTAGATATACAACAACTCAACATGTACTCAATGGGAAATACTCACCCTCTCACTATGCAATTCACACTCTTAGTCTTCAGAAATCTCTTCACTCTGTACTCTAAACTTTTTCCTTTATCAAAAGTCGACATTTCTTCAACAATAAAAATTGACTTATAGGAAACGTGGTGTTAAACAAACATAGTGCAGGTGGCATAGTGATGATCATTAATCCGATTTTTTTATAGGCACGCAATATTAAAGACCATAGGAAAATCGCCTTTCTTTCACTTTTAATTCCTCCCGTAATATCTAACATTTTTTTATTCTGTAAACGCAAAATGCTTATTAAAGGCGTCTTTATATCGTAACAACGTTAGAATTCTATTTTACTTATTATGAACGTCTTTAATTTGAAGTTGAATTACTGAATTTAATCTACTAAATAAAATCATATGACCGATGTACAAGATAACGATAAAGATTTCAAGAATCTAACATTAAATTAAAAAATCTATTTATTGTACAGTATGACTTAAGTTTGGTTTTTTGTTACGCCGCCAGGAGAGAAAGCTGCTAAGAATTTCATAAGTCTTTTCTTCTTTAGAAACTATATTCCTTTCTAATTGCTTGGTAATTTCAGGTTCCTTAGTATTTTGCCAAATGTTTTGTAACATGGTTTGAGAAATTCCCTGTAATCCACCATCCAGGCCCGAGAGTTGAATACGTGATTCCTGTAATTGAGCATTCATATTTGGGTGAACTTTCATGTCATAGCGATTAAACAACCCTTCTACAGTTCGGGACAGCATAAAACATCCACTTTTTACCGCAAAAAGCGCCAAATTTTAAAAAATTTATAATAAAAATTTATAATAAAAAATATTAACCAATCAAATTTCTTAAAAATTATATATAAACTTTTATAAAATTATATATAAGCGCCAAATTTTCAAAAGCTATATATTTTAAACTGTTATAACTTTTTTAAAATTAAAATTTTTAAAAATTCCTTTTTCAGATTTATTCTTTAGATAAAAAAAAACAAAATTGAAAGAGGAATTTTTATTTTAATTTTTTTTAAAAAAGTTATAACGATTTTAAACTACTATATAAAAAGTGGATGTCTTATCCTGTCCCGAACTGTATTTGTTGTTGATGTACCGCAATATTTCATATACGAAATTTAATAAATTCGTATATAAGAGAAAACTTTGCTGGTTCTGCTATATCAGCATTAGCAAATACTTCAAATTCTTCAAAAAAATTACACTGTGCAAGTGTTTTTAATAGTTCTAATGTAGCTGAACATCTATTAGACAGGTTTTCTTCCAAAAGCTTGACATAAGAGATTTTTTCACAAGTAGGAATTTTTAAAAAACTTTTATTAAAAAATATGGTCAAAAAAGTGCGAGCAAATGCAAGACCATTTACACCACTAAATGGCAAATGTATAGAGGTAAATGAATTCAAGTCTCTATCTATTTGACGAATCTATTTAATGTACCTTCTATTTCAGTACATAATGATATACGAAAATTTTCAAAATCTGTTACATTTAATTCATATTCAACATTAGCTAATTTATTACCAAATAATTCATGAATATTTTCTAGACAATGCTGAAGCTTTTGAATCCATAGCATTGTTTTATCTAGCATTTCATATATACAGTTGCCTGGTGGAAGAGTGTCTACATTATTTGGTTGGTGAATTTGTGAAATCAGGTCATGTCTAATCAGAAAATTATAAACAGATTCATAAAATTCTTGACCGAATTTAATGAGGTATTATATTTGGAGGTTAAGTAGC